AGGTTCCACAGATTTCCCTCTTTGCTTTTCATTTTCTCTCCCTTTCCTTACATTTTTATCACTATTTAACTTAGATTCTCATTTTAAACAGATTTCTAATCATGTTTTGTTTTTGTGAAGCGCCATGTGAGTTCATCTTCAAAGGCGCTCTAGAAAAGATTGTCTTCTTTCTTTCTTTCCATCTTGAGCCTGCTATCACCAATTGAAACCAGCCACAACCAGACGCTGCAGCATCCTGGTAACCTCCATGAAGACGTATCCAGAGGAGCCCTCATTAGGGTAGTACAGGTGGCCCTGTTGGTTAGCTTTGGGTTTTATCATGGTGGTGTGAAGACTTTGTGGCCAGCAGTGGTCATCAGTGATCTTACCTGCAGCCATTAGTGGAGAAGCTTTCCTGGAACACGGTGGTGTTGTTGTTCATATGTGTCGGTGTCCTCCAGTGTTGTCGTCTTATTGGAGGATATGCCTCCATAACAAAGGTCAGCGTGACGTCTTCACCTTCGTACACCTCCACCTTGCTGTAGCCCCTAATGTTAGCACTGCCAATGCTACGCACTTGTGTTGTGTTGGTGCTAACGCTAGCTATCAAATGTCCCTTTTCTCTGAGGGAACTGCTGCTGTTAAACGCTACCGTTTTCCAGTCCTCCAGTGGCATGCAGCTGGAGTTGGTATCCTGCAAGGTGTCACCTGTCTGCAGGTACGAGCAGATTCTCAAATAAGCGTGATCTGGGAGGGAGGAGGAGGAAGAAGATGATTAGACCCAGGTTCAGAGAAACATTTGGACTCGTGTCCCTTTATTGTGTCATCGTTCAATTTAGTGAGAGATTCTTTACCGACCTAACACTCTCAGGTGTGCTCTCACCACTGACACCCCAGCTTCATTCACAGCAGTGCAGGTGTACAGTCCAGTGTGTCTCTGTGTGACTGACAGCACAGTCAGAGTGCTGTTGATGAACAAGTGCTTGTTGTCATAGAGACGGGTAGCGGTGACATTCACATCCTAATACAAAACAACGCAACAGTCAGACAGACCACTCCAGTAACTTACAAGACGGGTGGTGGTTGGACACCTACCTGAATGTGTGGGTGTGTCCAGGAGATGTTGACAAAGTGGGAGGGATTACTGGCCTGACAGGTGACATCAAACAGCTCTCCCTCCAAACGAATAAAGTCAGCCTGACTGATGTACAAGGTGGGGGGGTGACGCAGTTCTGCAGAGAGAGAGAGGGGGGGAGGGGGGGGTGTAGTTTAATCTACCAACTATACCCCTTATCCAGGAGCTCCAGCTATAGATCTATGTCCAGCAGACTGGTGCCTATTCCAGACAGGGGGGGGTGCTCTTAGACTACAGTAGAACTAGAGGCAGATCCTTCAGATTCTCCATCTCCTCTCTGAAGCAACTTTAGGTCACGTGACTTCCGGAGTCAAACAAGCACTTCCAGTAAGGCGATGGCGAATGGAGGTGAGCACAAGTGGGCGTTTTGCTGCAGCCAGGTCCTCTAGTCATGTCCTGATATTCAGACATGTTTACTTTTGCCAGTCAGTCCTGGATCCATCTTAGGTGTGTTCTTGCTGTGTCTTTCTAAATCCATGCTTTCGTTCTTTTTTAAACACAGAAACAGTTTTGTTTACCTGTTTGTTGCTACAGTTTCGCCGACGGCTGCCGGCTTCTTCAGGCTGACGCTGATGGTGGCGCGTCACTTCCTTCTCCGTTAATCTGCGGGCAGCAGAGGACGTTGTCGCCCTCTACTGCCCGCTCTCCCCTCTCCGACGATGCAGTCCCATGCGTGGTCCAGCGTGTAAACTCCGTCGTCCCTGTTCATGGTCCCACATCCACGTCTCCTTATCTCGATTGCTTCCTTGATCCATCTTTTGTATTTTTGTTGTTCGGTGGTTATGATCCGTGTGCAATATTGACGACACGGGCAACATAAAGTTCACATATGAGTTAGAAACAGAAGGCAGCATAGCATTTATGGATATGAAAATCACCAGGCAGACCGACGGGACCCTAAACATAAACACATACAGGAAACCAACACACACAGACCAATATCTACAGTATTATGGACATCAGAACACCCCACCATACACAAAATGTCAATAATCAGAACATTATATCACCGAGTAAACATGATAACAGAAGAGAGAGACCGTAAACAAGAGGACAAACACATACAACACGCTTTAAAGACCTGTGCATACCCGACATGGGCAATAAACAAAGGAAAACAACAAACAAAAACAGAAAGCAAAGAACAACCCAAAAAAAGAACCAGAAACCCAGAAAGACAAGAACCAAAACCAGTGATAACCCTACCATACATCAGAGGCATAACGGAAAAAATAAGAGCAACAATGAAAAAACACAACATAAACACACCAACAAAGCCATACACAACAGTTAGAAACAGATTAGTACACCCAAAAGACAAAATATCAGCTGGACAAAAATGTGGAGTCATCTACGAAATCCCATGCAAAATATGCAATAAAACATACATAGGAGAAACCGGACGCCAACTCAATACACGGACAATAGAACACAGAAAGGAGTGCGAGAAAGAGGCAAATCGTAAACACACAAGAGCAGCAAAAGAAGAAGCAATAAAAAAGTCAGCCGTAACAGATCATTGCTTAAGAGAAAACCATATAATGGACTGGGACAGCACACGGATCATAACCACCGAACAACAAAAATACAAAAGATGGATCAAGGAAGCAATTGAGATAAGGAGACGTGGATGTGGGACCATGAACAGGGACGACGGAGTTTACACGCTGGACCACGCATGGGACTGCATCGTCGGAGAGGGGAGAGCGGGCAGTAGAGGGCGACAACGTCCTCTGCTGCCCGCAGATAAACGGAGAAGGAAGTGACGCGCCACCATCAGCGTCAGCCTGAAGAAGCCGGCAGCCGTCGGCGAAACTGTAGCTACAAACAGGTAAACAAAACTGTTTCTGTGTTTAAAAAAGAACGAAAGCATGGAGTCCTGGATCCAGTTTGGATTCAGCTGAACATTTTGTCCTCTTTGATGAGATTCTCTTTCCACTGGCTGCTGTTTGGAATGGGGGTGGGGTTTCCCTAAATGGGATTTCATAATGAATCTAATTCTGGGAACTTTGTAGTATTTCCTGCAACCATCGAGCCTGAATCTGGACCTCGTGTGCTCAGAGTTATGCGCTTTTTACACAAATGATGATAAACTAAAATAAACTCAACTGAATTAAACCAGAAAGTCTCTTCAAGCGAGACAGGTGTCTTACTGGGAAGAACAAGCAGGTCTACAGGTTTGGATCTGAACTCCTGGCCATCTCTCCATCCTGAACAGTGGTACCGTCCTTCATAGGACGTCCTCAGATGATGGATCAGGACTCCTTTTTGAGGGTCAAAGGTGACATTCATTCCAGGAGGTAGGCCACTGTTCCTGTCCTGTGGTTGAAGAGTGACATTAGTGACCGACGGGTCAGTCAGAAGACACATAAACAGGAAGTTGTCTCCTTCTTTGAGGCTGGGGATTCTGCGAGGGGTGACAAACACAGAGGAGGGGTCGGCCGGATCTGTCAGAGGAACAAGACGGAGGGCCGAAGATTACTTATCTAACTAGTAAGTTGTGTGCAGTATCCTTGCTGTCATTATGGATGGTTACCTTACCTGTGATGTACAGGTGGATCCAGGTGTTCAGGTGTTCCAGGCTCTGGTTTGCGTAACTGCAGCGGTATGTCCCAGTGTGCCTGGGCTCTGCCTTCATCACTTTTAGTGAGTCCTGTTTCTTGAGGAACCTCACCAGAAATGCAGTGCTGGACCAGTGCGCTGTTCCGTTCCCATGGCAACTGAGCTGAAAGCTGGATCCAGCCATCAGAACCACCTCGGTTTGGTTAGGTTGAAATTCTGAGTTCAAGCTAAGCGCCGGAGGACCGGGAGGTTCTGAAAGAGCAGACAGGAAATATTTCAGCACAACAAAATGAACCAATAATCAACAATACAATGATTTCAAATGTGGCCGGGTGGAGAAACGAGGAGCCGGGTGGAGAAACGAGGAGCCGGGTGGAGAAACGAGGAGCCGGGTGGAGAAACGAGGAGCCGGGTGGAGAAACGAGGAGCCGGGTGGAGAAACGAGGAGCCGGGTGGAGAAACGAAGACCCGGGTGGAGAAACGAGGAGCCGGTGGAGCAATGAGGAGCCGGGTGGAGAAACGAGGACCCGGGTGGAGAAACGAGGAGCCGGGTGGAGAAACGAGGAGCTGGTGGAGAAATGAGGAGCCGGGTGGAGAAACGAGGACCCGGGTGGAGAAACGAGGATCCGGGTGGAGAAACGAGGAGCCGGGTGGAGAAACGAGGAGCCGGGTGGAGAAACGAGGACCCGGGTGGAGAAACGAGGATCCGGGTGGAGAAACGAGGACCCGGGTGGAGAAACGAGGATCCGGGTGGAGAAATGAGGATCCGGGTGGAGAAACGAGGATCCGGGTGGAGAAACGAGGACCCGGGTGGAGAAACGAGGACCCGGGTGGAGAAACGAGGAGCCTGTGGAGAAATGAGGAGCCGGGTGGAGAAACGAGGACCCGGGTGGAGAAACGAGGAGCCGGGTGGAGAAACGAGGAGCTGGTGGAGAAATGAGGAGCCGGGTGGAGAAACGAGGACCCGGGTGGAGAAACGAGGATCCGGGTGGAGAAATGAGGATCCGGGTGGAGAAACGAGGATCCGGGTGGAGAAACGAGGACCCGGGTGGAGAAACGAGGACCCGGGTGGAGAAACGAGGAGCTGGTGGAGAAATGAGGAGCCGGGTGGAGAAACGAGGACCCGGGTGGAGAAACGAGGACCCCGGTGGGATTACGAGGACCCGGGTGGAGAAACGAGGAGCCGGGTGGAGAAACGAGGACCCGGGTGGAGAAACGAGGACCCGGGTGGGATGCAATCCCCAGACTCCCGAGTGAGGGTCACCCGTGCTGGCCAGTCAGCTAAAGGGACATCCCTGTGGCCAAGTAGCCAGGACACACGATCAATCAGGACACCGCGACAGGTCACTCACCCTGTCACATAGAGGCACCAAAACCTCTTAACACTGAATGCATCACTCACTTATCTGGGTTTCCTGGGGCAGATGGCTACGTAAAAACCAGAGTTCACCGGTAAACCAGTTCTTCCTGGTTTACCTGCTGAACATAAACACCATAGCAGGTGTGCATTCACAATGAATTACACCAGAACTGCAGCAAAGATTCAAAACAAACTTTATTTTAAACCAATAAAGCAAAATCGAGTGTTGGATCAATTTTTGTTCAGATCATTAAAAGATGTTTCAACCATCAGAGGATTGAACGCTCAGAAACAGTTAATCAAACCATAATCAATTATCTAAATCAGAGTTTTCAGCTTCAGGATCAAACCATCTGATTGGCTGCTTGATGGAAGCTGGAAGATCTCAATGGACACAAGGCTTCTTGTTGATGTCCTGCAGCTGGGTGGCAATACGAGACGTCTGCAGCAGCAAAGCCTGATGGTTTTCCACCAGCAGGCTCTGGTGTCGAGCCAGATTCTGCAGGTCCTGGATTTGCTGTGATCCCTGAGGAGACCAGAGCCAAATATTACTTCAATCAGGTAGAGTTTATCACCTTCAGTAGCGGTAAGGTTAGATCTAATCAGACCAGTTTGGTTCACCTAGCCCACCTGAGAGCAGCTTCCTCACATCAATCTATTTCAAATGTCTGATCCAAGCAGCAGATCAGTGGAAGGAGCAGTTCTCCTCCACACAGAGAGTTGGTGGATTGGTCCCAGCTTACCCCACCCACCATATGTCAAAGTGTGCTGCCCTTTTATCATTTTAAAAGAATCGACTGGAACAGAACCAGTGGTTAACTGGACTAGAGCCAAAGCTAACTGGTATACATTAAACAGGACTCACCTGAGTTTCCAGAAGTCTCAGCTGTTGGACCACCTGGACCTGATGTTTGGCACTCTCCTCCTGGATCCGGACCAGTTGGGTCAGCAGATTCAGAATCGTCGCTCTCCACTCAACCTCTTCTTTCACATCATCGAGCAGCTGAGCCTGCTGGGGGGCTGAGTTTGGAGCAGCAGGACTGACCCCTATCTGGTCTGGAGACTGAGGTGCACCCATCACCATGGCAAAGGGTTGTTGTTCATGTAGATCACCTGTAGTGAACACGACTGATGTCAAAATGACACCTAAAGGACCCTGGTTCCATCTCTGTTGAGGAGTTTCCATGGGCGTGTAACCCATCAGAGATGTGGACAATGTGTCACCCACAATTTTCAGGTAATATCCTCCGCCCTGTACCAGGTGATATGCCCCGCCCTGTACCAGGTGATATGCCCCGCCTTGTACCAGGTGATATGCCCCGCCCTGTACCAGGTGATATGCCCCGCCCTGTACCAGGTGATATGCCCCGCCCTGTACCAGGTGATATGCCCCGCCCTGTACCAGGTGATATGCCCCGCCTTGTACCAGGTGATATACCCCGCCCTGTACCAGGTGATATGTCCCGCCCTGTACCAGGTGATATGCCCCGCCCTGTACGAGGTGATATGCCCCGCCCTGTACCAGGTGAAATGCCCCGCCCTGTACCAGGTGATATGCCCCGCCCTGTACCAGGTGATATGCCCCGCCCTGTACCAGGTGATATGCCCCGCCTTGTACCAGGTGATATGCCCCGCCCTGTACCAGGTGATATGCCCCGCCCTGTACCAGGTGATATGCCCCGCCCTGTACCAGGTGATATGCCCCGCCCTGTACCAGGTGATATGCCCCGCCTTGTACCAGGTGATATACCCCGCCCTGTACCAGGTGATATGTCCCGCCCTGTACCAGGTGATATGCCCCGCCCTGTACGAGGTGATATGCCCCGCCCTGTACCAGGTGAAATGCCCCGCCCTGTACCAGGTGATATGCCCCGCCCTGTACCAGGTGATATGCCCCGCCCTGTACCAGGTGATATGCCCCGCCTTGTACCAGGTGATATGCCCCGCCCTGTACCAGGTGATATGCCCCACCCTGTACCAGGTGATATGCCCCGCCCTGTTCCAGGTGATATGCCCCGCCCTGTACCAGGTGATATGCCCCGCCCTGTACCAGGTGATATGCCCCGCCCTGTACCAGGTGATATACCCCGCCCTGTACCAGGTGATATGCCCCGCCCTGTACCAGGTGATATACCCCACCCTGTACCAGGTGATATGCCCCGCCCTGTACCAGGTGATATACCCCTCCCTGTACCAGGTGATATGCTCTGCCCTGTACCAGGTGATATGCCCCGCCCTGTACCAGGTGATATGCCCCGCCCTGTACCAGGTGATATGCCCTGCCCTGTGCCAGGTGATATACCCCACCCTGTACCAGGTGATATGCCCCACCCTGTACCAGGTGACATACCCCGCCCTGTACCAGGTGATATACCCCACCCTGTACCAGGTGACATACCCCTCCCTGTACCAGGTGATATACCCCGCCCTGTACCAGGTGATATGCCCCACCCTGTACCAGGTGACATACCCCGCCCTGTACCAGGTGACATACCCCGCCCTGTACCAGGTGATATACCCCACCCTGTACCAGGTGATATGCCCCACCCTGTACCAGGTGATATACCCCACCCTGTACCAGGTGACATACCCCTCCCTGTACCAGGTGATATACCCCGCCCTGTACCAGGTGACATACCCCGCCCTGTACCAGGTGATATACCCCACCCTGTACCAGGTGATATGCCCCACCCTGTACCAGGTGATATACCCCACCCTGTACCAGGTGACATACCCCTCCCTGTACCAGGTGATATACCCCGCCCTGTACCAGGTGATATGCCCCACCCTGTACCAGGTGACATACCCCGCCCTGTACCAGGTGACATACCCCGCCCTGTACCAGGTGATATACCCCACCCTGTACCAGGTGATATGCCCCGCCCTGTGCCGGGTGATATGCCCTGCCCTGTGCCAGGTGATATGCCCCGCCCTGTACCAGGTGATATGCCCTGCCCTGTACCAGGTGATATACCCCACCCTGTACCAGGTGATATACCCCACCCTGTACCAGGTGACATACCCCGCCCTGTACCAGGTGATATGCCCCGCCCTGTACCAGGTGATATGCCCCACCCTGTGCCAGGTGATATACCCCACCCTGTACCAGGTGATATGCCCCACCCTGTACCAGGTGATATACCCCACCCTGTACCAGGTGATATACCCCACCCTGTACCAGGTGACATACCCCGCCCTGTACCAGGTGACATACCCCGCCCTGTGCCAGGTTATAAACCCCGCCCTGTACCAGGTGATATACCCCACCCTGTATCAGGTGATATACCCCGCCCTGTGCCAGGTTATAAACCCCGCCCTGTACCAGGTGATATACCCCGCCCTGTATCAGGTGATATACCCCGCCCTGTGCCAGGTTATAAACCCCGCCCTGTACCAGGTGATATACCCCACCCTGTATCAGGTGATATACCCCGCCCTGTGCCAGGTTATAAACCCCGCCCTGTACCAGGTGATATACCCCACCCTGTATCAGGTGATATACCCCGCCCTGTGCCAGGTCATAAACCCCGCCCTGTACCAGGTGATATACCCCGCCCTGTGCCAGGTTATAAACCACTTACTGACTTACTGATGGAGCTACAATGCAGACGCTCTGTGACTAAGTTATTGAAGTCTTCCTGCAGAGAGGAGGAAGGTTTTCATCTATAAATATTTAGAAACGTTGGTGAGTGTCGTTGTTTTATTTACACATAAAACCTAATCAACTCATTCACTGTCGTTGACAACTAAAGTCGTCATTTTCAATCCAACTGTTCACTACCAAGTCGTCATTTGCATTTTTTTTACTCTGTGGGCATCGAAACGAGCCCCCGCACCGTGAGAACAAACATGTCAGCTCTAAAGCCGATCTTCATCCGCATACGTCACACGT